GTCTTATAGCTGACCACGTTTGCCAGCTGGAATTAGCAGAAGCAGCAGAAGGATGGCTTTGCCTAGGTCAGCTTTCCAAAGCACCTAAGTCTTAAGTACATCTAATTGGAAAGACCTAAATTCCATCTGGGATTTTAGCTTTTTTAGTTTCTGTAGTGCAGAATGCACAGACGTATTTGGAATGGAGATTGAGTGCCAGTCTACCCTGTTCCTTATTTACTTGTTGTATTTAAGTGGATACTTAGCCCAGATGGTTAGATTCAGTGGTGATAATGAAGTCAAGATAGACTAGCTGTTTTTCTAATCCATGCATTCTCAAAAGGGGTAAAAATTGGTGTTCTTGCCTGGGATAGGGGCAAAAAAATGTGTATTCTTTATATATGTAAGATATACCGTAGGTCATAAACAGATATACAATATAGCTGTGGTATTAAAATATCATGGGAGGGGGCAATTTGGAAAAAAAGTGCAGAAAGTTTTCTTAGGGGAGTGATAATGAGAAAAGGTTGAGAAACACTGTTTTAATCAAACAATGGCCATCATTCCAACTTTAAGAAGGTGTTTTCAAGGACCGACTGAAAGGTCGTTGGAAAACCTATCTCTTTTACTGGAGAAGTATCTAAAACCCTAATGACACACCATTTGTTTTAAAGTGGGGTAGAGGAGGGAGTTTCCATAGTTTCCATCTTGGTATTTAAGCAACTGTTATTTTATTTATTCAACAGTTTTGCAGGCTTACACTTGGAGTTTAAAGGTGAATATGGCATGTCCCAAACTTGAGAAGCTTGCCTGTGATCTGAATTGAAAGCAGCAAATGAAATATTCTCTTAGTGCGTGTTGTTAGGGATGGATAGTCAAAATTCCGTATTTTAAAGTCACTTGAAATCATCTTTTCTTTGTGTGGTTATGCTACCAACATGACATACAGTTAGATTCGTTTGTTTCTGTTTGTTTTAGATTTTTGGGGACTACTTTTTTTTAAGTTCAAAAATGTATGTTAAATATTCACATATTTTTAAAGTCAAAATTGTAAAGCAAAGTACATTTGGAGAAGTCTAGCATCCATTCTCTTATCATCTCTACCCTGTTCCTCTTCTCCTATAAGAAACTTTTAAAAAATATTTTTGATTTAGCCTTCTATTGTAAATAGGTATGTGTATGTTTATTTTTGTATTCCCCCTTATTACACAAAAGATAGTCTAACCACGCTCCTGCACCTTGTTTTTTTTTTTAAGTGTATATTCCAGAAATTATTTCATAAATATATTAAGATCTTCCTCATTCTTTTCTATAGCTACACAGTACTCTATTGTATGGATTTACCATAATTTATTCAACCAGTCTCCTAGTTGAATTATGGACACTTGGGTTAATTTCAGTCTTTTGCTATCATAAATAATGCTGCAAAGAATAGCCTTGTACATACATCATTTCATATTTTTTGCCAGTGTATCTTTGGAATTCTGAAATGAAGAGTCTAAATAATGGCTGGGTTGGTAGTAGCAATGAGAGAGAAGGTAACATCAGAGAGCCAGTTTCAGTATTTTAGAAAGCTTAATGAAAATCTAATTCAGTAATTGATTGCATAGGCTAACTAAAACATCAAGTTTCTTTTTTTCTTTTTTTTTTTTT